AAAGAGAGAGAGAGAAAGAGAGCTCACCGCGAGAGACACGATCTAGATCTGGTGGTGCTAGCCGCCGGTGCCTGAGTTCGCAAAATGAAAATGGTGCGCCTGGGTTCTGGTGGCGCCGGTTGGAGAGAGAACTGAGAATGAGAAGAAAGAAGATGAAAACGGTGCCAGCTAGAGAGAGAGAGAGACTAGTTCTAGTGGAGTCGGCCGTCGGTGACTGAGTTCGCAAGTGCAGTTGGGTTCACCGGTTCTGAGAGTTGAGAGGGAGAAATGAGAGCCGTCGCTTCTGAGAGTGAGAGTGAGAAAGGAGAATGCAAAGAAAAATTTTAAATATTTAGGGTTAGGGTTAGGTAGTTTAGGAAAAGTCGGGTCGGGCCGGGCTTTTTTAACAAATCCCGAGCCCGACCCGTAAAATAGTCAGGCTTGGGCTTTTAAGCCCGAGGTCAAGCCCGCGGGCTAAAACACATGCCCAAGCCCGTCCGGGGGCCGGGCCGGGCCGAGCCGGCCCATCGGGCCACCCGGCCCATGAACAGGTCTACCCACTACAAAGCCCAACTGAAGGAAGGGGAAATCGATCATATGGATGGTCGAACCATGCTGGGTGGCCTGGGCGAAATTTCAAAAATATCTTTTCTCCCTTTCGGGAATCGTATTCCCAATTTTAGAAAAATTGCATTTTTCAATGATCGTTCTTGATCCAAACCGGACCAGATCTAAAACCAAAAGAAAGTGAGAGCAACACCTGATACAGAATCCACATGTGTAGCTCCCAAAGTAGGTGTTCACGCCCAAAGAGGGTACCAAAACCCACTTCCATTGAAAATGGCGCAACTTGAGACGAAGCAGGTTAAGCAATGCAGACCTTCAGCAAGAACTGCAATCCAACAACTAGGATCGAGCAAAGGAGGTGAGCATGAAATTAGATCTGATTTTTCTTGCAAAAATCAAAATCATGACTGATCACTATCAGTTCAAGAATGGAGGTTGAATTAGGGTTAGGGCGGCAAGAGCAAAAGGAGAGGGAGAACTAAAAGCAGTGTGTAAAAACTTAGAGCAGTTCGCCCTCCTCCTTTTATATAGATCTTAAAGAGCTTATCTCCTAATCTAATTAGGAGATAACTAATCCAAATCTTTCTTTGGATTTGGACTCTTTAAGTGGTAAGACTTATCCTCTTATCCTTATATGTTGATCCAAACCCATATCAATACCCAAATTTGCCCATACTGATTAATCCAATTAATCTTTGGGCTTTAGGCCCATTAATCAGATGGTTCACATCCCTTTAATAATTGTCGGTTAACTTGGCTCTCTTTGTATGGCGTGGGACCCTAACATTGACCTCACAAAAGCCATATGGATTCAGCCTAACTTCTGTGACAAAGTCTGGCCAAATTCATTGCTAAACACAGTAAACCCTTGAGTCCATTAGTATGGGCTCTTAATGGGCCCAACATTTATACTGAATGGTCCTTGAGTCTAGTCATCTTATGAAGGCCCAAGGACTATGGTCTTAAGTGAGATTAACCCATCAGGTATAATAGCCCTAAATGGTCTTACAATTGACCTCTCAACCCTTAATGATCAAACACTGCCCAACAAGAGAAGACCTCTCCCTCGGCTGCAAGGTATAGTGTTGCACTCTCTGCTCGGATGGATCACAGGAATTAAAACCTTTTGCAAACCTTTTTCATAAAACATAATATATATATATATTGCAAAACAAATCTCAAACACGGTTGAAATCGACTGCCAGCAGTTTTGGTTTCCATTAGAGAGAGTGCAGTCCCTAATGATTCACTTTATCCGACAAAGGGGCTGATCCTGTCACTATGATCACCCACCCGAGTGAATTCTCAGATTGCCCCAACATACCCAGGTTTTGACCCCCGAAGGATCTCACTGATTGGCATATCAAAAACATCCTATTCCAACACCCAATGCAGTATCATAATCGAGTATAGAGGTTAGGTGTAACTTTCCAGTTTTACTCACCAGTCTCCAAGGTCCAAGGCATAACTGGAAAATGGTCCGGGTTCAGTGTTTCAAGCAAACACACACTACATGTCCTTCGAGTCTAACCCTGGCAACTAAAACAAGCTAACCCAACCGACTTGGCAACACATTAGTGTCAGGCAGGATAAACCTCCCCCAAAAAAAGGACAACACAAACATTGGACGGGCCAGCAGATAACATACCCACTAAATCAAGATCAAGCACCCTCTGACCCGAAAGGACCAACACCTAGAAAACAGCCCACTACAAAGCCCAACACCCATAAAGCAAGAAAAATAAAAGATACCAAAGGCAACACTCCAAAAAAGCCCCAATACAACACCCAAAACTAAGGCCTAGGCCCAAGAAAAATAGAACACACAACAGCTAGGGATAGGGGTGAGCATGGGTCAGTTCAATTCAATTCCATGCAGAACCTGGAACCTACCCTATTGGGGTTGGTTCCAGTTTTTTGGAACCAGAACCTACCCTATGAAGGTCGGTTCTAGCCTTGGTGGTTTTGAGGTTGGTTCCAAGGTCTACTCGTGGAATGTGTTCTTTGTTTACTCTCCTCCTTGAAAAAAAAAATATGTTCTTTGAAAACTTGATTTTTAATAAATATGATATATATAGTTTAAAACTTATATTATCTTTATTGATTAAATTGAGTAAGTTAATATGGGGACTATCATTATATGGGTCAAAACTTATAATTTACATTTAAATGTTGTAAATACTACATTTTATATTACTTATTATACATATTCAAATATTGGCGTGAAAACAAATGATCAAATCACAAGTAACTCAATGGTCAAATGAGGCAATGACCTTTGTAACCATGAGTGCTTGGGTTCAAATCTTCACATCACCAAAAGTATTTTTGGGTTTATTTCAAGGCAAGTTCGGTTCCGAGGCAGGTTCCACCAAGGCCGGTTCATCGGCTCAGTTTGGGTAAGGTAAACCCCTAGACCCTGGAACTGGCCTGGGTGGGGGTCAGTTCCAAGAATTTGGGACCAAACCCAAACCTGTAATAGATCGGGTAGGGTAGATTCAAGGCCAGTTCAAGATCAGTTCCATTCGATTCCGGGTAGAACCTACCCATTTGCTCACCCCTAGCTAGAGATGGCAAATGGGGTGGGTTCCAAGAGGGTTTTGTAAATTCTAAACCCTCCTTGCCTTTCCAAACCTCCCAATCCATACCCTCCAAAAACATACATGTAGTAGGTTGGATTTTTTAGAATCCAAACCCTCCCTACAATTAAGGCTCTATCAGTTCTACCTTAACTGCAAGTCCAACCCAAGGAAAACTGATGATATAACCTAAAGGAGGGCAAAAGCAAAGAGAAAAAATATCATGTCTTTTTTGGGTAAATTGCTAAAATCTTCCCTGAAGTTTTGGACCATTTCTAAAACCTCCACTGAAGTTCGGTAATTGTAATTGTTAGAATCGATAGTACAAGAGTAGTTAAGTCTTTTTGTCTATCTAATTAAGATTGAATAGTATGTTTTGTTTAAGTTTAAGTTGTGTGTCCCATACTTAATAAGGAACAATATTGTCTTTTGTAATCCAACACATACAACATAAATACAAAGTGGGTCGACTAGGTGAGGTGACTTTTCTTCTCCCCTTTCTCTCTTTCTTCTTTTTCTTCTTCTTTCATATTTCAGACCTAGAACTGAACTAGGGTTAGTCGATCTATTCACAGTAATCACCTCCCTGAACTTTTTGACACAATTGCAAGTAAACCCCTTAGAATCCTCTATAAAGAGGCACAAAAATGTCCAAAATACCCATGTAGTTACTTTGACCAAAATGTTCATTTTTCAAATTTTCTCTTCATATCAATCGCTACCCCCAAGTCCTTCCAATTTCTTGTCAAAATTTGATTTATTTTCCAATTTTCCCTTCATATCAATGATAAAAGGTAAAACTGCAACTTTAAACTCTATTTATTGCTGCTGTTGTTGTTGTCCATAAAGTTTGTATTGTTTTTACTGTATAAACCAGCCTCAATAGTAACTGCATGGGTATTTTGGACATTTTCGTGTCTCTTATTAAAGGATTTTAACAAAGGGGTCTACTTGCAACTATGTTAGAAAGTTCAGGGAAGGTGATTGCAATAACCAACTTAGAGGGAGGCTTTAGAAATTTACCTTTTTTTGGTAAAAGTTGCGATCTTGGGTTGACTGTCCAACAATCTTCTCTAGTCTGGTTGGGCCTATTAAGTTTTTTGGTTGAACCGGTCCAAGTTAGAAGGCCCAGAATTGTGAACCCAGTATGCCAAAGATTATTCCCATTACATTGCAAATACACAGGCTCTAGATAGAATGGAATGCCTTGCCCCACCCCACCCCCC